ACCTTGTTCACATTACTAATTCTTCAAAGTGAATATATTTTTTGACAACATAGGGGCATTGGTGAGTAAAAATAATTCCAAAAGTGACGCAAACTAGTCCGACGTTTTAGACCGTTATTACAATTAGGTACGGCACAATATTTATCAAGAGGGGGCGGGGGGCGGGGGGAGTTGAGTAATGACCAAAAAAATCAAGAAAGTTAATAAATACTTGTTAATGAGAGCGATATCAGGAAACCAAATTTCTGACGGTTCAAAATTAATCCTCTCCGTTTTGCCATATTTCTTTTTATCCCAACCGATAAATGTGTTGTTCCAGCTCTGCAATAAATATAATATTTATTTAATTAATAGTGATTAATGACGTTTAATTAATAGTGATTAATGACGTAATTTATTATTAACTATATTCAATGACGTCATGTAGCATAATGTATCATGTAACAATCGACTTCGAAGCTTTTACGTCATATAACGTATACGCAATGCATTGTCAGGATATGTTTGGGACAAAACATGGCGGATTTTTCTTTTGTTTTCTACAAAACTGATCCCACAATGCATCGCAAATCATGTAGGTGACGTAAAAGCCTCGATTCAGAAGTCTATTCAGTATAAGTCTATAGCAGATCCCATTACTCATGAGACTGCAGCTTTAAGGGGAGGACAAAAGAACGGATTTTAGTTCCCAAGATAGCAACAATCTTATTGTATTTTGTCCTCCAGATAAAGGTCCTTCCTTGGACTACACCTTACCATTACAATCCATGTGTCAACAGTAATGGTTTCTCGTTTAACGCTCTGAAATTGAAAATTATTGGATGCGTAAAACGCAAGTTTTTTCTACCGACATTTTATGACTTTTTTTAATTAAATTAAATTTAATTCCTTTTTTATTTACAATTAAGGAGTGGTAACCTACCACTCAAGATTTTTTTTTATATATGAATTTACATTTCTTTTTACATATATTACAAAGGACAAACAAATGAACTAACAACAAAAACAAAATTACTGGAATAATATTGTCATGGCTTAATCTGACATTATGTGCTAATTAGATTGACATTTTGACTATGCATTTTATGACTTATTAATTAATCATTAATCAATATCTGTTGTGGTTTTTGTATCCTAAACATGGAAAAAAAGTTGACATTTATGATTATAGACCATTATTAACTATGATTTATATAATACGTTTTTTAATTATACTTACTACTTTGACAAGCTTATTCAGTATGAGTCCAAACTCGACTTTGACAGCTGTTCTAGATATACCCTTGACTTCTGGACGAACGACTCTGTCGTGTTTGTCGAGTATTAAGGCTCTTAGTTTGTGCTCGTAAGAGTCGCTCGATATGCCTCCTGATAGGTTTATTGACACTTCAAGRAAAAATGAAATTAGTTAGAATGTTTAGGGAAGAAATATAGAGGAAAGGCTAAGATGTGCTCGAGAAGAAAGCAAAATATAAGAGGAGAAATAGAAAAACTGAGAAAAGGAAAAGAAAAACAAGAATGTGAAMTAAGAACAAGAGAAAAAAATAAACGACAATAGAGGAATAAGAGCAGCAACCATAGCAACAATAACAAAATAAGAATAATTGAGAAGACAGATTTATAGATAATAACAAGAAATAGAAAGCCGAATCAAGAGGCCATAAAGGCTGAAAAACGATAAGAATATTAACAACAAAAATAATCCTGAGAAAAGTGAAGAAGTGGAGAAAAAGAAATGCATATATTTTCTTTATCTAGCAATGAATCCATTAAAAAAAAAAATTCTGTCTATCTTTAAATTTAGCTTCTGAGCATGAAATTATTTTGCGTTTATGCATGGTCTAGCTGTTTTTGGTTRCTAGTTTTTACAAATGCGGCCAAACTCTCAGGGGAGTCACCCAATGGTTATAATTATTACGCTTGATGAGTAACKTATGTGAATGCCATAGGAAATGATATTCACAAACAATGCATTTCCAAATATAAATAAATCCCTGACACAAAATGTCAGATATTTCTTAACTTAGGCAAAAGCCAAAGTGTACAAAATATTTCCGGACAGCTCAATTGCAAGGGCAAAGGATTCTTGTAATTTTGTATTTTGAAATCATTAATAAAATTGTTGTTGTGCTATTGCTGTTGTATTTCAAAACAAACTTCATGCCTGGATTATAAAATTCTAAGCAGTTATTATAAATTGATCTCGCAAAAAAAAGTTCGGGCTTTAATGGGAACCAAGCCCATGACTTCTGCGACACCGATGCACTGCTCTACCAATGACGCCAACTACGAACTATAACAAGAACTATAAAGTTACACGTATTAGATTTTAACAATTCAGGATAAAACGTGCAAAGGTCTGACATAAAAGGTAAAGTAACGGCTTAACACAAATACACTTCAAATAAAAAAAAGCTTACCAAATAAAATCACTACAATGTTGACGATCGATTTGAAAGACATTTTTGCTTCTTAAGGCTGTTCTCTCTTTGTTGTGGTGTTTCTATGTTTTTTTTTTGTCTATACTGGATGTTGGCCAGCTGGCTGCCTTGATTTGCATTTTAAAAGCTTGTGCGAGGGAGTATTCCCAGTTGGTTGGAATTGTTTGATGACTTTGTTTGAATTGAGTRACCAATTAGAGATACCCAAGGATTAGAGTATTGTTAATAGACAATTGTATTGGAGGTGTTTTCGCTTATACACAAATCATGTTTAGTAGTCATTACAAGGCGAACGTACGCAGATGGTGTTGCTTACAAAATAAATATATATACACCTACTTGCAGAAACGTTGTCATAGAAAATAGAACATTTGAATTTAGTAAAAAGGAATAAATTAAAACAAGACAAAAGAGAGCGTTCAGCCTCAGTGATCTTCCTTTGTCTTTTTAATTCTTTCCTTTTTTTACTAAATACAAATGTCCTATATTTTTATGACAACGTTTTCGCAAGTAGGTGTATATAGTTGACAATAAAAAAGTTCTAAGTCTATAATTATGATTTATTCTCAACATTATGCGGTGTTGCTACTGTATAATGATATTGTAGTTTAGTAAAAACAAAGTGATCCCATATTCTCATATATTTCAGGGACTATATAGTTCTGCAAAAATTTAAGATCATAGACATATTTTGCGAGACTAAATTTCGCGATTTTTAGTCGAAATTTGCGGTGCATTAAATTTTACGAAATTATTCAAAAAGCTCTTAATCTGTTAGCTACACTAAAAGCAAACTGATTTGCTTGCATTATTACTGAACTATTTGATAAAGGAAATGTTTGAGGATTAAATTCATTCATGATACACCCTGATATGGTTGAGTTATAATAAGTATTATATCATACATTAAACAGCAATATGAAGAAATTATCTTTTTTGCTCATATTTCAAGTATATATAAAATATATCAGAAATTATGGCATATCATCGCCAATATTTTTTTCAGAAAACACTATTGCTAGGCAACTTCAAAAAAATATTGGCGATGATATCCCATAATTTCTGATATATTTTATATATACTTGGATTATGAGTTGAAATGATCATAATTTCTTCATATTGCTAAATTAATACATAGACTTATAAATAGTTTGAGCTATTATAGACCAATTGGATTAGCATATTTGGTCGCATGCACGTGACATTACATAACTTAAAACTTGAAGATCTTGAAAAATGAAGATCCTAGAGTGATGGCACTTAATCCGTACAACTGTACAAACTGAATAGTGATGTTTAGTTGCATATAGTAAATCGTGCATGCAATAGAGTGATCGCACTTAATCCGTGCAACTGTACAAACTAAATAGTTCTATTTAGTTGTATTTAGTTAATCGTACATGCGGTACGCAAATTAAATTGAATTGATACAAATGAAGCATTCAATACCGTCTTCAGGTCCAATTTTAGTACAAATTAGTACTACTTAGATTTTGTACAGTTGCACGGATGAAGTGCGTTCACTCTAGAGTACAAACACTAAAACTGTACAACACAAATACCACTAAATACTGCTAAATTATGCTAATGCTATTGTTTTCTATTATTTACTAATTAGCACWATTTTTTAGTAAATAGTGCAGAATGTTGCACGCTTTAAGTGTTTGTACTCTGGCAAATTTCTCAGGTTGCTTTAATATATCATCATCAACCATAGATACCAGGAAAGCAGCGAGAAGTTGTTAGTACTTTCTTCTACGCGTTATCGATGTGGGATACAGCATCATTTCCTTGTACACGACTTTCAAAAATGGCGGTTGATCACGATCCCCAATATTAGGGGACTAGTGACGAATCATGGAAACGAGACCTCAAAGGTCTTACATCTAATTGTCCAAAACTTTTAAGGCCGATTTAGATTGCACAACGTTTGCCCACAACAATAGCATGCAACCTGCGTAACTCGTCTTTACAACATGTCTACTGTCGTAGGCATTTTCTCAATAACCCCACGAAAGTTGTAGCCATGTTGTAAGGATGACTTAAGCAGGTTGCATGCGATGGTTGTAGGCAAAAGTTGTGCCGTCTAAATCGGCCTTTACAGGTATATTGCTACATGTTATTATAACAAAACACTCTTTACAAGACACCATCGAAGTTTATTATACGGAGGCTGGCCTTTGAGATCTCCTTTTAGAGATTCGTCCCCAGTATTCTGGTCGGCGACCGTGACACATCGCGCCATTTTTCATATCAAACAATTGCCTCAGAGAAACATTCATTCGTTTGCCAAACTTTTGCTGACTATATATGGTAATCTTACCTTATAAGGAAGTACGATAGAAAGTTTTTTTCAAGTTTTTCCCACCTTTTAGTGCTTTAAAATGGCTAAAACTTACAGAATTTGCAGAGAAATCGCTTTTCAACATGTCGGCCATTATAATTTTGTCCTAGTCCCCTCCCATCCTTGAAAATAAGGAATCCCACAAAAGACACAGGTAGCCCGCGCGAATGTTAGCAATTGTTTGATATGTAAAGTCGCGAATCCCAATGTCCAAGAGCAGGAGTCGTGATGTTACTAGACA